TTCCACATTAAATTGTCTAAATAAGTAAGAGCCAGGTAGCCTCATCATCCATTTTTATATGCGGGGTCCTTTTTAAGCCTAGGTTTCCTCCTGTAGAGTCACACTCTCTTCCCCTTCAGCAGCACAGGACGCCTTCTCCCAGGTAGCTGATGCATGGGCAAAGCTGGTCCCAACCCTGCCAACTCACCATGATCCCCATCCCCTTCTCCTTGATGTGCATTTACCACCCCCTTTGAACTTTGTCCCAGCCTCCGCCCTCTTGATTGGTGCTAATTTATGTTGGTTCTCGGACCTTGGTCGTCCATCTAATTGTTTTTAATCCAATTGAGAATTTTGCCCTCAATATCTATGTGAGAGATTTATGAGGAAAGATTAAGGACACCAGATAGCTAGATAAGCTAAAGAACAAACCAGGGTGGTCTGAGGGCTCAGAGGTGTCTGCAGTGTGCAAACATCATCGGTAGGATCGTGTCTTCCTCATGCTGAAGACCACTAATTTTCTTGAAATCAGTGGCTCACTGAGAAAATTCAGTGTGAAAATGGAAATCAGGGCCATGAGATGGGGGGAGGAATTGTTCAGGTTACAAGGAGTTTTGTGGGGGATTATAGGATGAAACTGTCATATGGGAAATGTAAGCGGAGTGTCGTGGAGAGCTGTGAGACTGCAGAGGGGTCTCCCCTGAGGGGGCTGTAAGCCCTGTCATTTGAGTCACTTGAAATCAGATAAGGCAAAACCTCTTAGCATCTACCATGAATAATGGCCCTTAATTTTTGTCAGGGACTAGGACAAGATGGGGCTTTTCCATCACTCATTACCAAGATGCTATTAGACTAACGTGACCTGATCCAGCAGACTGTGGCAGTAGCCTTCCAGGATGTCCATGGACAGGGAGCACATAGCTCCATCCTGTCACCTCTCAATGCTGCTGCCTTGGAGAAGTGATTCACATCCGTCAAGGGAATAAAATGTTATCATGACTGGATTTGAGCCTGAGCTCTGTGTCAGGCCCTTTGGATAGAGATGACAACCACAGATTTTAGTTTGAGAAGTGAGATGAGTCTGCTGAGAGAGGGTCAGGGTGTTTCTGGCTGAGACAAGTGGAATACATGTGCCGAGAGATCAGACGGACTAGTTCACTGCGAGGCAGTACAGCTGGAGCCATACTCCAATGGTGAATGTCCTGATCCCTTTTTTTCCCAGCCATCTGCTCATGGAATACCACAGACTATTACTCTGAAGTTAGGACAAAACTACAACTGCTTTCCTATGCACAGGTCTTGCTAGTGTGTGACTAGCTTCCTTGGATGGCATGTTTGTCTAGCGTGGAAACATTTGGCAGGTATAAGATACATTTAGAATCATAGAACCATAGAATCATAGAATAGTTTGGGTTAGAAGGGACCTCAAAGATCATCTAGTTCCAGCCCCCCCGCCAGGGGACACCTTCCACTAGATCAGGTTGCTCAAAGCCCTCATTGAGCCCCCAACCTGGCCTTGAACACTTCCAGGGATGGGGCATCCACAACTTCTCTGGGCAACCCATTTCAGTGCCTCACCACTTTCATTGTAAAAAATTTCTTCCTTATATCTAATCTGAATCTACTCTCTTTCAGTTTCATAGCAGAAGACACCCAAAGCATTTATTTATATTCATTCACGCTCAAAGCAATCCTATATGTCTGAAGGACTGTGGAGTTTAGGGTATCCCAAAGACTGGTGTGTCCAACCTGTCATTTTGTGGAAAAATCAGAGTATAAAACAATGCAAAAATAGCATTCTGAGGACAAGTACTGCCATGAAACAAGTGGACTTTCTTAATTCTTGCTTTGAAGATAGGTAGGAGGTGCAGAGGAAGGGAAAGATGCCACTATTAGATCAGATGGGATGAAAACTGGAAGACTAGGAGCTGCTGGAGTTTAACAAGATGCCAACACCAGAAACTAATTCCACTTCGTGCTAATTTGTTCTGACTGCACCTTAGAATAAAATTATGAAATTGGTGAAAACCAAGGTAATAATATTAAGTCTCTCTGGGATTTGACCAGCTGCATGTGGATGGAGATGCTACACATATCCTGAAACCTAGATATTCTGTTCAGTGGGAAATTCTGAAACTTCATAAATAAACAAGAAAGCCCAAGCAAAATTGTTCTACATCAAAACAAACCCTCCAAGTACTGGACCTGCTAGTGAAAAAGGAATTCTAAGGCTTTGATTTTTCAAGATGAAGTTGATGAAGTTTGCTCAGCAGCTCTGCTTCTCACCTCTCTGGTACAAAACAAGGCTTCTAGAGGACCTCAGAAGCATGAAGCAGAGCTTCCAGATTCTGAGCAGGCATCATGATATGTAGGAGCCCAGGCCATGGGGTTATCAGACAGACAACGTGGAGTGGACTATAACCCTGGAAAGCTTCTTGGTTCCTATTAAAAGTCTGGTGAAATTTAAACGCTCCGTATCCTGACAAAGAAAAACTGTCACATTATGATCATCCCAGAGACCTCCTCTATGCTATACGAATATTCTCACAGGATAAACTGTCCCAGTGCAGGTGCTTGCTTGCAGCCCTGGTCTAGTTGTGCAGAGTCATGCTCCCTTAGCTTTAGATAACTACAGTGCCAGTGTCTATATCCAAGCTAATCATTGCATAGGGACAATTCACACCCTGGAATTGGACCTAACCAAGAAACCTTAGTGTGATCACTTTTTCTTGAACACTTACAGAATCATAGAATGGTTTGGGTTGGAAGGGACCTCAAAGATTATCTAGTTCCAACCCCCCTGCCATGGGCAGGGACACCCTCCACTATACCAGGTTGCTCAAAGCCTCATCCAACCTGGCCTTGAACACTTCCAGGGATGGGACATCTACAGCATCTCTGGGCAACCTGTTCCAGTGCCTCACCACCCTCAGAGTGAAGAATTTCTTTTTTATATCTAATCTACCTTATATCTAAATCTACCCTCTTTCAGTTTAAGGCCATTACACCTTGTCTTATCACTACATGCCCTTGTAAAAAGTCCCTCTCCAGCTTTCTTGTAGGTCCCCTTTAAGTATTGGAAGGCTGCAGTAAGATCACCCCGGAGCCTTCTCTTTTCCAGGCCTTGTTGAACTTCATGAGGTTCTCACAGGCCCACCTCTCCAGCCTGTCAAAGTCCCTCTGGATGGCATCCCTTCCCTCCAGTGTGTCCACAACACCACACAGCTTGGTGTCATCTGCAAACTTGCTGAGTGTGCACTCGATCCCACTGTCCATGTCACCAACAAAGATGTTAAATAGCACTGGCCCCAGTACTGAACCCTGAAGAATATCACTTCTTCTTTAAAGTGAGTCCAGAGTGCTTAATGCAGGTGTGCGTGGCTGCAATGCAGTCACCTAAAGTTGCATGGGGTGAACACCATAGCTAATTGCTGTTGATTTTAATCAGTCAGGTTCTTAAACCCCTTTGTTAGAGCTGAAGCTTGGTCCTGTATCTGACTGGTCTGTCCTTCAGATGACAGATAAGATGACAGGGATAAAGAGGATATAAAGAAAAGATCTAAGCAGGTGTGGAAAAAGGTCTTGTGTGAGACCTGTAAGAGGAAGGACACAGTATATCTGACTTCTGCTGAATAACTGTGGCCAGACAACAAGAAAGCTGTTGACTCACTGTGATGCACTATGTAACTAACAATTAGTGGCTAGAAGAAGGCTGAAGACCCGGCAGCTGCAGTCTGGCCGGAGGGATTTCTTAAGTAAGCAACCTATTCAGAGTCATTAACCTACCTGCACTCCCATGTGCACAGGGCAGCCTTCCCAGCAAGCCTTCGGGTCACGATTTGCTTTGCTTTTGGATTCTGTCACGAATGGCCACCCTTACAAGTGATATGTCTCGGAGGGAGACCACGGTTTTAATGGCTTTGCTCAGTAGCTTTCCCTGATAGTGTGCAGTATGTGCTGTGGCTGCGAGACAGAAGACGGTGCAACCCTTTAAACAGTGTTTTCCAACAGCGCTTCCTGTGAAAGTCAGTGGAGACATTAGTGGAAGCAGGATTAGACCCTGAATAAAAAGCACCATATGTTGGAAGGAGATGAGAATTATGTAAATAATAAGGCATACAGACACTTTGTAAGTGGACAGGCCGATCTCATTATTGATCTACAATTAAACCAAACTGTGGGGTCATGCCATCCTATTACGTCTCGCAGATTAAACGCAGGCTATCTCTTTTCGTTATTGTTTCTGATGGAGTTTTGGAGTTTTCTTAATTCAGGTCAAAAAATGAGAGGTTTCCTCATAAGCATTTTAATTAACCAGCTGAAGAATTCTCTTGCCCCTAGAGACTCATGGTTGCAAATCCAGAGCTAAGTACTGTTAGCCCTCTCAGACTGTCATATTTTGGCTGAAATTGCATTTGTGCCCCTTTATTCAAGTCACAAACACAGACAGCAGATCAAACCCACCCCCTCCTTCATTGGCTACTCAAAAAACCCCCGTATCTTGGAAGTTTGAGTTTTGACCTAAACATGTTCTTTGTACCCCCGCCAGCACATGAGGGCCAGAATTTATGAGGAAAGCGACCTAAACGTGCAGAGGAAATCCCTCTTGGCTGGACCTTGGGGCTATGCACACCTCATCGCAGGCACCTTGCCTGCCCCAAGCCACCAGCACAATAGGGTCATCCAGCGTTGTCTCAAGGCTGAGTAAAACCCCAGTCCTTTTGCAGGGCCACTCAGTGCACCATCCCCTGAGGAGAGGCTCTCAGTTGAGCAGTTGGGTCTCTATAGAGCGTGCTGCTCCTCAGGTAGATGGGGAGCTCCTTCCTGGTCCATGGTGGCTCTCATCCACGTTCACTAGGCTGCGGTGACTGGTGGTGACACTCCTGCAGCAAGCTGACCTTGCACCACAGGCCACCCATTGTCCCAGGAGGCTTATTCGAGAAGAGGAACCACACACCTCCAAAATGGTCATGGGTGAGAAAAGCATGCCTCCAAAGTCCTGCACTCTCCCGTATCCTCCTCTATGTTGAGCTGGCGCAGATACTGCTCGTTTCCAACTTGTGGGGTAGCGGCATGCCATAAGGGGGGACGACATTGAAGAGCAAGTACGGTTTTTGGAAGGGCAGCAGCTCCAAGTGGTGGGGGATGAAGGAGAGCGTGGTGGGCAGCCAGGCAGTTGCCAAGTGCCCTTGCAGTGGTGAGTAGTATCCCACAGCAGGGATGGTAGCAGCAAGCTTTCTTGGCATCAAGCTAGGAGCCTTTCAAGAATAAAAATGCAGACTCAGGTGAATCAATACAGACTTTTAGTTAGATACAATTTAAGATCAACCTTATACATTTCCCTGGTGCTCAGTAATTAAGAAAACTTTAGAAGAACAGACTCCCTAAAACCCAGCGGTGTGCTGTCACCCAGGGAGCAAGGCAAAATACCCTTTGTTCTAGACATAAAAAACCTCCTGACAGAGAAAGAGCCTGTGTGCCAGCCCAGATAATATTAATTTCCTGGACTTCGCAAGGACATGGGTCAAGGGCAAAAAGCACTGGTCAGTCTACCAAGGCTGGACATTGTAAGGAGATACTGTCTATAAAGAAGCATGGCTTTTTGGCTGTGAATGTTGTATTTCTTCCTGTTCAGAAAATTTCTGATGGTAAAGATATTTTGAATCAAAGTATGATTTATAGGGAAGTGATTTAGAAGTAAAATGGGGAAGGATAATCCTGCAAGAGAAACCTCACAGCATATTTACAAAACAGGTAAAACACAGAAATGTGTTATTTGACCATATCTGCTGAGATTTCTCTTCATCATATTGCCATTTTTGTCTTTTCCAGTCCTTCGCTGGGATAGTCCCATGTGAAGAGGCGACCTGGTGAAGGATAGCTACCTCTCCCCCAGTGGCTTTATACATAGCCTTTGATAC